AGGCCCCACTTTGCTTACAAACCATATTGCTTGTGAATATGTGTGTAACCAGTGGAATGTGTGTGAGGTGTGAATGAGAAATACCCAACCAAAAAGGCAATTGAGGATCCGGGAACTTTTAAGGCAGACAAATACCCTGCAAGCAGATAAATTAACTGAGAAGCAGCCAGAAAAATCTCTCTTACAAAATGTAACATTACAGCAGAAGCCTGGGACTGGCCCAGAGGAAGTAAAGCCTCCTGCAGATCTGAAGGGATCTCCCAAGGAACATCATGGTCGATTCTCTGGGAAGCTGACACCTAGCCAGCATTCCAGCCTCCAGCGAAATCAAAAATAATCTACACTACACTTGCAGCCTGCCTCCAAACTGTGTGTGTGTGTGTGTGTGTGTGTGTGTGTGTGTGTGTGTGTGTGTGTGTGAGAGAGAGAGACTGAGAGAGACTGAGAGAGTGAGACTGTGAGACTGAGAGTGAGACTGTGAGACTGTGAGAGAGAGACTGACTTTACTTTGAAGAATCTGTACCAATAAACAACCCCCAAAACAGTACTGCTGCAGCCCACCCTTTGTCCGGGTTTGTTCCTCAGCGGGTCTGAGGAAGTGCAACAGAAGGCACCTCAGGCTAGAGAATTACGGGGAGACAGCTGTTCAATGATGCATATGTACTTTAGGGAATATAAGAGGTATCATTCATCTGAAGCAGACCATATATATTTCCCCAAAACCAAGTAACACAGGCTGGGTAGCTGCTTTCCATACTTTAGATGACAGAAGATGACCGATAGGACCAAAACTGTCCTGGAAATCTCCTAGATATTTTTTTTGTCCCTATTTGCAGACAGATATGAGGAATTGACTATCTCTACCCAGAGACTATCAAGGTGGATTTTGAGGAGTGTTAATCGCTTGCTGAGAGTGCCAAAATCCAGCTTCCTGCTAAGCTTCTGGGAAACACTACATGGTTGCAGTCAGCATCTGTGGCCTTACTTATGGACACTGTAGTACCTGAAACCTGCAGAACTGCTCTACGGTCTCCAATAAATCCTTTCTCCAAGCACTATGCCTTGGGCCGTGCCTCTAGATCTGAGACAACAGTGGGGAGTTCACTCTTCTGTACTAAACTCTATACCAAAGCAATCTCCTTCTGGGGATTCTGCTCAGAAGACTAGTGTCCATAGGGACGCTACTCAAAGGAGAAGGAAAACTTACCTTGTGTGGTGGTTCTTGGAGATGTGAGTCACTGCAGGTGTCCAACTAACTCACCTTTAGTTTTCTTAGTTGGACTTGGCAATAGAGAAGAAAGTGAAGGCAGTTTGCCCACACAGTCCTGCATAGCCACAATATAGGGCACATTTGCAGGCTGAATGGGCATGGCTAGTGAAAATCTCTGCTTGAAGGTGCATGGGGCACATGCACAGCTGAATTGGAACACCCATAGAAACACACATCTTGCCGAACTACAGTTACTGGTGAGTAACCTTTCATCTTTTTGCATACTAGAAATTGAAGTCAATGGGACCAGAATTTCACCTGTGTAAATATATAGAGGGAACTAATTTGTGTTCTTCAATCTTATGACTACTAGAATACTGTAGTGACTTTTGAGAAAATATACTGGTTTTACATAGGGAAATGGGGATTTAGCCTACATCTTATGTTACTGTTAGTTGTTTTGCATGTTCCCCTACAGTACACTGCCACACTAGCAGTAGTATCTAAATAACAGTACGTCCTTTGTGGTACTGTGCATATTGTTCCTACAGAGTATATCCACAGTTTGTTTTCAAGAGAACTTTGTAGAAATTACAATTGATATGAGGGAGTTGCAACTCAGGTGTGTGTGTGGGCATGTGTGTGTCTGGGTGTGCGCGCGCGCGTGTGTGTGTGTGATGTTGTAGGACTCAGTATTTGTTTATACTTTGTTCTGACTCCCTCAGCAGAAATTACAAGGATTACAAGAAGCGATTCATAGTACTTCCCTATGTTTTTGTTTCTAGCCCTAACAAAATTATTTGAACTCCTTTTAGTGTATATTTATTTCTGTGTGGCAGTTTCAAATTGGATCAAGTCATATTAACTCCATATGTCACAAGCAGCAGTTTGTCTGTTAAGCTTTAGTTAAGGGAAGGTATATCTTCAAATAACACACAGGAAGAATGGGAGAAGCACATCTGTTCCATCACAGCCTGTTGTGGCTTTGGTGTGTCCCACAGGCAATATCTGTTTTAAACTCGTCTAATAAAAGTACCTAATTCCGTATGTTTACAAAGCAGTGAATTTGTTTTTGAA